AGAACACCAATGCCCCTTTAAAAAGAAAGCATATTAAAGATTTATCCATGGGGTTCTTACCTGAAAAAGGGTAAATTACATACTGCAAATCAATGATCAGATAATTTCCCTGTGTCTAAGGGACAGAAAAAGTACAACCTGTCTAGCGTCTAAGAGAGAACAGAACTTCTCCCAGAGGTTTGACATGGTTCTTTTCCCATAAAGGAAAGAGGATGAGGTTTTGATCTTCAAAAGCTTTGGGAAACTTCCAGGCTTGACGAAAGCCTTACTTGGGACTGGTGGAGGAAGTAGGTGATGTGTGAGAATTGACGGGTATGCTTTACTGCTGGAGGTTGAACAACACAAAAGACAGAGGCGAATTAAGGGGGCAGGGGTTGACCCAATGCCAGCATTCTCCTGAAGAGGAGTGTGGCTAGAATACACGCTGCGTACTCTACTCCATGAACATATCCACTGTGTTTGTAGACTTGAGGACCTCTGCACTGGTGTATATTAAAACTGACATACTGCAGGTGAAATCTTGCTGAAGAAGTTATTTTCTTTAAAATTCAAATCAACGGGAACGTAAGTAAACCATGCTTTGAAACAAGCCAACAGATCAAGGTTGTACTCTGAAGACCGTCTTTTCCCTTTTTGGGAGCAACCTCAATAATTCCCAAATACAGTGTGTTACAGAGGTGTCTCAGATGGCGATTATGGAAGGCATCTCATGACAGACGAGGGGCACAGACACTCTGAAGACCAAAACGGTGTGACTAAAATGAAGAGAGACATTCTGTCACTTATTCTAGCAGTGCAAAGCCACAGTGAATGCAGATGGCGGTCCCAGCACTAATGTTACACTATTAGCCATCTGAAGATGAGGCCCTTTACCTACGAAGGCTAAGCACCAGTTTGCCGCATTGTAGCTGTCTGCTGTGCTGTGGAGGATGGATTTGCCTATTTTTATACATTCTCTACTCATTTGTGTGCATGCAGTAGACGCTTGCTGCTTAATTCTGCATTGTCTCCTAGCGTCTCTCTCTACAATGGGAATAACTCGCTCTCCACAATGGGAATAATATCCTTTCTTCAAAACAAACATTTGATTTATTCTCCAAATCATTCTAGGTTAAGGCTTTCAGTTGTTGTTTCTCATGAAATTTTATGTGGATGACTACAGAATTACCCTAAAATTGAGGCATTCTGAGTCTTGAAAATATTTGAATGGTGTATGAGGCAACATTTATTCACTCATCTATCCGTTCTTTTAATGGTCATATTATTGGATAAAGCACGAGGAAATTTCAAGGCATTGAGTGATCTCTCCTATTAGGATGTTTATGTCATGTGAGAAATTATCAGCAGTATCATCAGATACAAGCAAGCAGAAGGACATAAAAATCTCAAATAAACAAGAGATTACTGTATGTTCTCAATCCACAAATATTTCCTGGGTAGCTGCTTGGTGCCAGAAACTGTCAAGGGGCTGACTGTAGAAAAAGGAGCTAATGAGTCAAGGTCCCTGGTCGCACGGGACTGGCTACCTCTTGGCAAGATGGAAAACAATGACGAAACAAAGAAACAAGAGAACTTCAGGTAACCACAGGTGCTGTGGGGAAAATAAAGCAGGCGCCCTTAAAGGGATGACAGCTGCCAAGAGGGGGCACTGCCAGGCTGGGTAAACCTCTGTGGGGTGGGTGTCTGAGTTCAAGCCTTAGTGATGGATGGGACTCTGAAGGATGAAATGTACTTGTCCCTTTGTATAACAAAGAGAAAGTCACCGACCAGAGCGTAGAAGGAGAGAATGATAAATAAGACCATGAGGTAGGAAAGGGCCAGATCTTACTGAGTCTTGCAGACCAAGGTGAGAGGGCTTTCTTCTAAGTCTGGAGGCTTAGAAAACAGCACTGGCCATGTACAGCGTGGGGTGATGTGATGGGAGTCATAGTTTAGAAGGGTTGGTGGAGACACTGTGAAAATCAATGTGCAGAGACCAAGAGAGCCATCAGGAGGGAGAATGCAGGTCTGTGAAGGGCCCTGGATGGAGATGATCTGTGGAAAACCGGTTCTGGCAACCTAACCGTGACAACAGATCAGAATCTTTGCTGGCAGGCTTACTGAAGGGGGTGGGTGTGGATATCAGATTTCTAACTGCTGGTGTAGTGAGAAGTGGTCACAGGTTAGGCAAAGTTTCTAAGAGGAAGAGAGCTGATGGTGTCTGAACCGAACTTTAAATAATGGTAGCACTGTGGAGTGGGAGGTTCGTTGATCTGTGGAGCACCGAGCTGTTTCCGGGTCTGGGACTACCCTGGGTGTTGGCCATGGCTTTATAGAAGCCCTTGCAGAAGGCAAGTAGGACATTTGCTAAGGGAATAATACTCTAAGTAGTGAGGTGAATAACGTGCCCATGGGAATAACTGGAGAATTAAGTCTAGAGAAACTTTCATTCTTTCCCTTGGTTAAGCTCTTGGCTCTCCTCGATTTGTTAATTTGTTAACTTTCTGTCCGCAGAAACTCAGATCGCTGTCAGTGGGCAAATTTCATTATATCACTTCCTTAGACACTATGATTAATATTCATTACTCTCTGTCTGAGGAAAAACTCTACCCTCCCTAGAAAGGACGAGAGAAAAAAGGGAGAAGACACCGGAAACGCCGATGGGTGTAGGTGCCCCCATTCTAGTTCACCTGCTCCAATCTTGCCTCGCTTCCTCTTTTCCCAGCTGGCAGACCCCGCTTCCACTTTCTCTCCTTCAATTTCTCTGGTAAATTGCCTCCAGAATTAAGGAGAATAGAGGATTCTAGTCATAGGCATTCCCCAGTGCCTACAAAACACATTCAAATTCCTTAGCCCTGAGGAAATGAAAGAAATCCACGCTTCCTGCTTTATCTCTGGCTACGGGCCACACACCTTTCAATTATTTTAAGCACCTTGCATTTTCTTCTATTCCGATGATTTTGGAAATTGTGGTAAATACACGTAAAACTTACCAACTTAGATATTTTAACCGTACAGTTCCGAGGCATTAAGAACATTCGCGCTGTTGTGCCGATCCCCCTGGCTTTTAAAATGCCTAATTATTTCCCAAATGCTTCCAGAAAGTGATTGCCTAGGTAACACCTGTAATGACACGGTTCCTTCTGGCCTCCTGACGTGCCTTTTCCTTCCCTCACCAATTAAAATCCGACTACCTTGAAAGGCTGGTACTTACACCCTACCACTTCCTTCAAGCGCCTCTCAAACCTTTTCTGGAAACATAAGGTCAACTCCGTTGCTAGGTTACACAGCTTCCAGTAAAAAATGATACCCGGTTGACAGATCACATGGAGACTGGAAAAACTACTGATCAACTGCAAATACACGATGGGATGGGACACTTGGACCTCTGCATATGACGCCTTCTGTTATCAGGCATCATTAGAGTCCCTTGTAGTGTCTCCAGACGCTCCGTCTTGACGTTTCTACAAGAGATAAAACTTCTAATGGAGCATGAGGCTCTTCTGCCCCAATATTCTTATCAGTGCATATTCGTTGCATATAGTGTTGGCTTTTATATAGACACATTCTTTAAGTATATCCTGGATTTTGACCATACCCATCTCTCCGCTTAGCCCCCTTCCCACTGTTCCTCTGATAGTCTCTTCTCTTCCCTTCTTTCTGTTTTCATGTCACTCATGTGTACGTGTGGATATAAAGAATTCTAGGACCCCAAAATGAAAGAAAAGATGCCATATCTTATTTGGCTTAATGTGACGATTTCAGCTGTATATATACTCTAGAGAATGACACAATTTTACTCTTTTTTTGTGAACCTCTATCATATGTATAGATACACACATATTATATATATGTATACCCACAAAAAACCCCACTAAAATATTGATTCACACCAGGTGGTGGTGGTACATGTCTTTAATCCCAGCACTTGGGAGGCAGAGACAGGTGAATCTCTGTGAGTTTGAGGCCAGCGTGGTCTACAAAACGAGTTCCTTGATAGCCCTGACTGTTACACAGAGAAACCCAGTCTCAAAAAACCAAAACCAACCAACTAAACAAACAAATAAATAAAATCGATTCACATGTTAATGGACACCTAGGCTGACCCCATAGCTGCAGTACACGGGTTTCTGTGTAGTATACTAACTTAGAGCTCTCTGGACACACACCCATCTGTGTCTACCTAGGTGACGAAAGTTCTGTTTGGAGTTTTAGAAGGAACCTTTGGAGCAGTAAAAGGGCTAATTCACACCCCTACCAAAGGTACATAAATATTTTCTTTCCCTATATCTTCTCCAGCATTGGTTGCTGCGTATTTTCTTAATGCTAGCCACCCAGAGAGGGACGAGATGAAACCTTGAGCTAGTTTGACTATGAGTTTCCTTGATGACTGTCTTAGTTAAGATTGGTTTTCCTAATTGAGGTTCCCTCCTCTCACATGACTAGCCTGTGCCAAGTGGCCATAAAACCATCCAGCAGACTAAGGATGCTGGACATTTTCAACATACTTGCTGGCATCTCTGATTCATCTCTTGAGAGTTACCTCTCCATTTCATTAACCTATCTATTGATTGGGTTGTTTGGTCTTGGGGACATTCGATTTTTTTTTTTAGTTCTTTATATATTCCAGGTATTAATTCTGTTAGACTTATGGCTAACGTAAGATCTTCTCCTATTCATGAAGCTTTTCTGTGAACGATATTACTGTATTCACTCAACAAGAATCCCATCTTCCTTGGCCTCGGTTGTAACTGTTTGTGAGTTAGGACTCACACAGCAGAGGTATTCTGAATCTGTTCTGCTGCTCCACAGTGTTTCCAATATTACATTCTTGTAGGTCAGTTTAAACCCAAGTGAAGCTTCTGTCAGTCTTTTGTGTCTGATGAAAGTGGGGACTAAGACCATTCTTACAGGCTGCAGTAGCATGTAGAAACACTGTATGCTCATGTAAATACTGTTCCATATTTGACTGTAAGTCACTGGGAATCATTCAAAGGTAATCCCGGTAAAGCATCCCTTACCTTTGGAAGGAGCTGGATCGCCTGTAGGATTCTCTGTCTGTGTCCAGAATTAAGGATACCAATTTCCAACAAATCCTGATCTTCCATAACATTGCTTCCCTGGAATCAAACCAGAAATGTTCCATGATGAATTCAGCATCTATACCATGTGAAATAATATCTTTACATAAAGTAAAAACAACAAGTACTCCGAATTGTATAAATAAGAATAGCATCCTCCTCCTCGGAGTGTGAGGGAGGTGGTCACCTGTGAGGCTGATTTGAAGGCTGTGGGAACCAACCTTCCCTCACACACAGCTCTCATGACTTACTGTTCATGGCTAAAATTTCCTGCACTGAAGAGTCATTCCTGCGACTTCGCACTCTGTTTCTGTAAAAGTGCATGTGCTTCCAGGAAGGGCTGCCATTCAGGGTTATCAGTGACTTACAGAAGGATGTGAATGAACCAATCTATCTTTTAAAGCTTATCTGAAAATAGATTTTGTGAGGAGGGCTGATGGAAAAATTGACATGTGCCATGACAGGTTAAAAGTAGAAATAATTCGTTTTAAAATATCGAATGTCAGATTCTTAAAATATGGGGCTGGAACCATGTAATGCGATGCAAATATCTGTTAACAGCTGCCGTTATTCCTTCCACATGGACACTGCAAATAGGTACCACGTGATGCTTGCTTCGGAACCCTGAGAGCATGGGGGGCACAGTTATGGAGAAGATGATATAGCATCAAATGTCTGAAGTATGCTTAGGACCCAAAACAAGGACAAAGAGGAAACCACAGGCAATAACCCAGAGGAAGACAAAAGACCCAACCAAACGGACATGTATACGGGGGATAAAATGAAGAGAAAATAAAAAAATGTAAGGATGGAAAAGTAAGCCCAGGCTAAACTAAACAGACACTGTGTGGCATAGTGATAGTTTGTATACATTTTGGCTGTCCTTGGAGAGCAGGCTTAGAAAAGAATTTATAGATGAAACTGTAAATTTAGAAAGATCATTTTGACTTTTATGGCTGGGCCTCAGTTTCCTTCCCTATAAGATGAAAAGGCCAGGGGCCATGCATTCTCCAAGGACTAGTCTACACTTAAAAGTCTCAGATCGCGACTGATTGTTTGAAGCCCCTGACCAATATTTAAAACAGAAAACCAGAGATTGCTCATTTTGTCCCTAAACTCTATTCTTTAAATCGAAGAGTCTCACATTGTAATTGGAATAAGGCAGCCACTTGTTCTCACTCACTTTTGGGAGCCGGAAAGCAGGAAAGAGGTTCTGAGACTATGAGGAATGGCTGTGGGAGTGGGATATTGCTAGATGGAGGAATTCATGAAAATGCTGTATCACACGGTAGAATAGCTATCTTATGTAACAGTTCAATAAATTCCAAAATTATTAGAGGAATTCGATGCTTTCCAACACATAAGAAGATTTAGGAAGATGTGATGTTAATTGACATATTTGACTATTACCTATTATACACATGTATCACACGACCATAGTGTGGTTCATAAACGAGTACAGGCATTACATTCCATTAAAACAAGAATAAAAGATCAAAGGCTTGAGGAATGGATGGGAAGTCCAAGAATCTGTATTTCTGTTTTTTTTTTTAATTTTTCTGGACAAACCAAGCTCCATTCTCTTCATGTGTAACACAAGACACTTGTGAAAGAAGTGATAGAATGCTTGGTCATGGAGGAAAACGGGTATTAACAGACGCTCAAAGCAGAGGAAGTGAGCTAGAAAGGGCTACAAAGGGCAGTCCTGGGATCCTGAAGACCATTGGGAGGATCGTTTTCACGTGACAGGGGCGTGGATTTAGCTAACAGCTATGGAAGGCAGAAAACCATTGAACCCGTCAAGCCGTTTCAGTTGGAGATTGAACCTGTGGGAGGAAGTGCAGTGCGGAGTGGGGCCGGAGACGGATCTAGCTGCCCTTTCTGAGATAAGAAAAGAGAGAGGGCGGGGTCTAGATTGGTACAGCGTGAGGTTAATGCCCTTCCTTCTAAGTGCCAGAATGGATGGATGTCAGCAGTTTAATATCAGACCGCGTTATAAATGGCCAATTGGCTGATGTTAGGAGATTAAAGCCCCGAGACCGGCACCACAGTTAGAGATCTAAGACGGGCATTCACTGAACGGAAGTACTCCACCTACTCAGAGCGTCGTCCCTATGCTTCAGCTACGCCAGCCTTCTCGGAGGAGGCGGAATGATCCCAGTATCTACCAGCATGATAATGAAAAGTCCAGTGAAAAACAAATAGAGGTGGACTTGGCACAGTGCCCCAGGGAGCCCGGCTCTCAAGAAATCACTCACCGCACACCGTCGAGCTAAAAATATAAACGACTTCATTTTGAGAAATTGTTATTACTTCCAGAAACAGACGCATGCAGCCTGAGTGGACTACGTGGTGCCTGATCTGACTTCTAATTTTTGAGGGTTTCCCGAATCACTTACTGATCCTACGACAGCAACCACAAGACTGGCCATTTGTGGGCTAGACCACTGTCAGGTTCCCCATGTACTGAATTAACAGTCCCTGCCGTCAACTCACGCGAAATATGGGGCCTTTTTTTTTTTTTTTGTACATCAGCAAACATATCGTCAAGATTTGATGGTTTGTAGGACCGACTGTCTACAGCTAATCCTAAAAATTTGACAGCAGTATTTGAATACATTAATGGATTCAACAGCTAAGTCCTGGAAGATCACCGCTTTTTCTTTACATCGTCCGCACACTGTCTTTTCTATTTGTAATAAGGGAGGTTTACTGTGCAAAAGTCTGACATTTTTTAAATGGGCACTAAATGCACAAAAACCTTGTCTGTTTGGGTCAGATTTTCTAGCATACAGGATACTAACAAAGCACTTTTGAAAAAAAAATGAGGGGAAGTATAATACAAAATATAAAGATGTGCCTTCTGAATTGGGAGATATAAAGGGATTCAATTCACTGTCCCTAATGAGGCGTGCTATTAGCATTTTTCATTTTGCTAATTATTCTTATTTGTTCACTATATGATGTATTCAAAAAACACCACACTGTATGTGGCAAAAATATATAATTATTTTGTGTCATGAGAAAGGCAATAAAAAGTGAATGTTCTATTTTTCCTGTTTCTCTAATACAAAGCATAACCCCAAATATGCTGGTATATCTCTTTAGCCTGTCTTTTGCTTAAAATGTAAGGTGGCTTGGACCTAGGTTTGGGCCATGGTTGAGAAAACTATGTTAAGTCTCATATTTTTAAGGCTTCTTTGTCTTACCTGTGAAATGAAGCAGGCTACTCAATATGCATTCAGTTAAAATGCTATTATTTTGGCCATGTTTAACTTTTGATTAGTATGATTATATATAAATATAGAGTGTATATTTTGCAATGAAATTTTTGCACTTTGGAATTTGTAACTTAATGTTAGCTCTAAGAAACTATTTCAGAGAAATTTGTGAATATGGCTTTTTTGGACAAAGCAATCTGAGCAATATAAATTTATAACATTTCTTATTAAAGGAAATAACAGAATACCTTCTCTGTAGCATTATGGATTCTTATGGCTTTCCAGAGAAAAAATATGATTTTACAGTTCTTATGATTTCCTTTGGCATTTGGGTGACAGTTACACTATCAAGACCATAGACATTCAGATTCGCGCCTTAGGAGCTAGCGTCTACTCTTGCTCTGTTGCCTGCTTTTGTAGATGCAGAGGGTTTCAGCTTCACACACCGCTTGCCCCTAACAAAAGCCAACCACAGTCCTCAGCCCTTCACCCCGTTGCTGGATCACTGGTTTGGGGAGCAGCGCTCCATGGTGGTCCTCTGCTTTACCAACTACCCCGTGTGTTCCACCTCCTCACCTTCCCATTATATCACTCTCTACTTGGCCCATTTGTTCATCTGACCTCCATAGTAAGCTCCCATCCTCCAAGAGCTCCATAGACGTCCCTGCCAAAGACTGACCCCCACCTCCAGTTGCCAGAGATCCAGTCTTGAATCCAAGTACTTGCCAGCTCATTGGCTGGTGGCCACGGTATTGGATAATACTGATTTCCAGTCTGTCTGTCACTGTGGTGGGTTCTATGAGTCAGTGTTTCTCTGCACTTATAGATGGTGAAGCCTTAGTCAAATCACATCGATGGAACAAATGGAGGCCAAGAATAAAACATGCTCATCATTCCCGGGATGCAATTATTTATGCACCGTTTGGTCATAGTTCGTGGATATTAAATGTAGCATCTCTAGCAAATTCTCTCCTAATATTTTAGTGTTCAAAATGAATTATGAACTCGTTATGCTTTTGGAGGCATTTATTTATTATGGCATTAGAAATCCATGTCATGGGAGGATGGGCACAGTTGATAAGTTATTGCTTAGCACCCTGCAGGGCACACTGCACAGGTGTTTGCGGAGGACCAGCCACAGAGAGAGCGGTTTTGTTAGCCACTGACTAAACTGCTAACTAGCATGATCAGAGGCCTGAGGTGCTGTTTTTCCAGCTGCTGCTCTTTTACTGACAAGAACTGACAGATCTGGGGGGCCCTTTATTACTTTCTTAAATCACAGAAGGAAGAGAAATCACCTAATATCTTATGCGCTAATAGCTGAAGCTGAAGTTTCTCTGACCGTGGGGAGATTGCTATGGATGGCAAGTTTTCAGTCTGGATAGACCACTGAGATGACCAAATAGAAATAGGAAGTTGCGTTTCCTACTTAATGGCCAGTTAGAGACAAAACAGCTGTTTTTATTGAAATCGTATCTCAGAAATGCCCATACCGATGGCTCCGGCTCTCAGAACAGCTTGAGGAGTTCATGCGGCTTCATAACTTTCATACAATATTGAATTCATTTACAATCTCTGACTTCATACCCCATATTAAATCTACTGCTAGGGAAGCATGTCTGAGACCTTGGGAAGCTGCTCTCTCCCTAATACATGCTTGAGCTGGAAAACGGTTTTGCCCTTTTTCTTCATTCAGGTCCAAACTGAAAGCATCAAGAGATATTATTGGGGGGAGAATTGTTTTTGCTTTATACTGAGCTCAATTAGATTGTTCTTGGAATTCATGTGACCTTCTATTTAAACAGGATACTTGAAACA